GCCTGTAATCCCAGCACTCGGGAGGCTGAGGCAGGAGGATCACTGCGAGTTCGAGACTAGCCTAGGCTACAAAGTGAGCTCAAGGCCAGCCTGAACTGCACAGCGAGACCCTGTCTCAAAAAAGACAAAAAAAGAAAAAAAGAAAAAAAAAAGAAAATATGCTATAAAGCTACTGTGAAAAAATAAGCATGGTACTGGCAAAAAAAACACAAACAAACAAAAAACCAGACCTGAGGATCAATGGAGCAGAACAGAAATGCAGACATAGCCACAAAAACACTCAGCCACTTTATCTTTGACAAAGGACCAAACATGTTCATTGGAAGGAAGATAGCCTCTTTAATAAATGGTGCTGGGAAAATTGGCTCTCCAATGACGAAGACTAAAACTAGCCCCATGTCTGTCACAGTGCACTAAACTAAAGTCAAAATGGGTCAAAGATCTAAATATTAAAACAGAAACACTAAATCTACTGGAAGACAAGGTCGGTAAAATTTTTGGAGACATAGGGGTAGGGGTAGTCAGAGAGTTCATGAACAAAACACCAACTGCACAGAAAGTATTTCAAAGAATCAGTAACTTGGATCTCATTACAAAGTTTTTGCACTTCAAAAGAAATGACCAACAGAGTGAAAAGTCCCACAGAGTGGGAAAAATTTTAGCCCTCTGTCCCTCAAACAAAGGACTTCTATCTAGCACATATAAAGAATTGAAAAATCTTTATCAGGTTCCCCAAAATCAAAGACCTAATCCAAAAATAAGCATCAGAGATACATACCTGCTTCTCAGATAAAGAAATACAAATGGCAAATAAATATATGAAAAAATGTTCAACATCATTGATTATCTAAGAAATGCAAATTAAAACAACAAGATTCCATCTTACCCCAGAAAGAATGACTATCAAAAAATCAACCAATAGGGCCTAAGGAGTATAGCTCAGTGGCACAGTGTCTGACTCACAAGCATGAGGTTGTGAGTTTAACCCTTGGTGCCAAAGAAAGATAAAAAAGGAAAGAAAGCAAAAGCAACCAAGCAAGCAATAAGTGCTTGTGTGGTTATGGGGAAAATGGAACCCTTCTCCACTGTTGGTGAGAGTATAGACTGGTACAACCACTGTGGAAATCAGTGTGGAGATTCCGCAAAAAACTAGGATTGAGGCCATGGGTTTAGCTCAGCAGCACAAGTACCTGCCTAGCAAGCACAAGGTTGTGAGCTTGATCTTTGGTACCCACCAAAAAATCCAAAACAAAAATAACAAAAACTAGAATTGGAGGTCCCATTCCAGCTGTTCCCCTCCTGGGTATTTTCCCAGATTTGAAAACATAACACCACAGTTTGTAAGCTAAATCTTGGAAACAACTCAAATGCCCATCCACAGCAGAATGGATAAAAAGATGTGGTAATTTTATACAATGGAATACTACTCAGCTACAAAGAAAGATAAACTCAAGACCTTTATAGGTAAATAGATGCAACTTGAGGCCATACTCATAAGTGGAATAACTCAGATTCACATGTGTAAACATCATGTTGGCTCCCCCCTTTTTTTTTTAATTTTGGTACCAGGGATCGAACTCACCACCGCACACTTGCAAGGCAGCCACTTATGCCGCTGAGCTAAATCCTCAGCATATTGTCTCCTTAGTGTAAAAAAAAAAAAAAGGAAATAGGGTCCAAAATGTACAGTAGCTATTGTGATGTGAAAAGGGAAGAATTAGCTCAAAAGGAAAGAACCCCTGGGATGGGTGAAAGGAGAAAAAGAAAGGAAAAGGATATATATAGGTAATTATACAAGTAATCTGTTAGTTCATCAAGAACAGTTTCTGCTTTCATGGATCATTTTTTCTTTTTTTTTTTTTTTTTGTCTTTTTCGTTTTTATCGGTACTGGGGATTGAACTCATGACTGCCTGCTTGCAAGGCAGGCGCTTATGCCGCTGAGCTAAATCCCCAGCCCCTCATGGATCATTTTCTTCATGCCTATGTCTTGTGATCTGAGCAACTACTTTGAAGATAACAATATACTAACTATTGTTAATCTATTATTTTATTTGAAATTCTGTATCATTTTTATTCTTAAGAAAAAAATTAAAGGAAATAGCAAAAAACAAAACCCCTTTTCCAATTGTTCCCAGCAGGGTCTCCTATCTTGTAGCCATTTCTTTATGGGACACATCAAGCTCTACTGTCTCCTCTTCTCCTTTCTCCTCAGCTTTGTTCTTAGCATCACCCCCAGTACTCATTTCCCAGCTTGAGGAATGAATCCTCTGAATGGCATCTTCTCTAGAGAATTTCACAGCCAGCGCAAGCAGCTCTGCTCTTCTGCCATGAAGTCATTCTCTTAGGCTCTGGCAAATCCAAGGACTAACTCTCTTCACCAGCCCTCTCCCTTTCTTCCTCTTCCGTTCCTGAGTTGCCATGTCCTGTGCTCTTCGCCTGAACTTCGTGCACAGCGAATTTTTTGGTTAGCTTGGTCTTACACTCAGCCACCATGCTAGCTTCTGCCAAGTGCTGAAGCGATCTTTGAAAAATGAACATTAGGTTATTTCTTTTCTCCTAAGCCCTTTAGCAAACCTGCTTCCTATTTCATTGCAAATTAAATATTCCTCCCCTCACCCTCCCGCTGCTGTGTAATACTTGATGCAGGCAAGATCAACAGTGGCTGCTTCAGTCCTTACCTGAGAAATGACTGGGGCACAGAATATTGGCACAGGGTCTGAAGCCTCACTGTTTAGATTCCTAGGGGCAAATACACCTTTACAAGGAGAGATTGGGCAGGTGGCTCCTTGACCAGGTGACCTAACTCAGTGCCATACTAGTAGGGAAATCTGACACTATGTGCTTCTAGACATGAGGTACTATCAGATCTCAGGTTTCACCAGGTGCATTTTTGTGTCCAAAATGCCTAACTTCACTGTGCCTAGCCACTTACATTTTACAGGCAAAACATGGATGGTAGAACAAAGTACATACCATAAAGTAACAATCAGACAAATCCAGAATATGGAATATTCACCAGGAAACTAGTCTGAACTCAAGGGGGTGAAAATGTTATGAAAAAAATAGACTGTCTATTCTCTATATTGAAGAGAAAGGACAACTAAATTCAATGTGTAAACTTTTTTTTGTTTTTGTCTTTTTGAGATAGTTTTGCTATGCAGTGCAGGCTGGCCTTGAACTCACTTTGTAGTCCAGGCTGACCTGAACTCCTGAGGATCCTCCTACCTCAGTCTCCTGAGTGATGGGGTTACTAAGGCATGCACTACCATGCCCGGTCAACTGATTTTTTTTTTTTTTTTTGAACCAGGATTTCTGTGTAGCCGAGGCTAGCCTTGAACTGGCAGCACTCTTCCTGCTTCAGCCTCCAGAATGCTGAGGTCACAACACATAACTGTGTCTAGGCCTGCTTGGATGCTGGTATCGATTAACACAAGATATTCTTGGGTCAGTTGGAAAATATGAATAATTTCTGGATAAATTTCCTTAGCAGTGAAATCTTTGTGGCTATACAGTAGAATGTCCTTATTTTTAGGACATACATGTTAAGTATTAATGGTAGGGGCTGGGCATGGTGGCATAGGCCTGTGATCCTAGCACTCAGGAGGCTGAGGCAGAAAGATCACCGTGAGTTTAAAACCAGCCTGAACTACACAATGAATTCAAAGCTAGCCTATACCACATAAACTGTGTCTCAAAAAAAAGTATTAATGGTATAGGAAAAATATATTAACAAGGGAAGGGAAGATTATATATATATATATATATATATATATATATATATATTGTTGCTGTTGTTGTTTGTTTTTGAGACAGGGTTTCACTATGCAGTTCAGGCTTGAACTCACTTTGTAGCCCAGACTGGCCTGGAACTCGCAGCAATCTTCCTGCGTCAGCCTCCCAGTGCTGGGATTATAGGCCTGCTCCACCACATCCAGCATAGTTCTCTTATTTTCATTAAATTTTATTTTGAAATAATTTTAAGATTCTTGGAAGAGCTGTAAAGTAGTATAGTTTACACACACACAACAAATAGGTCAACATTTTTTAATACACTGACTGTGCTTTTATGTTACCATTTGGTATTTGTTTTTGTTTGGTTGGCTTTTGGGATGGAGGAAAGAACTCATGACCTTGCGTTTCCCAGGCAAGCGCTTGAGCCACTGAGCTAAATGCCTGGCAGTTGTTTGGTGTTGCTTGAAAGAATTAGCGCAATAACTGTAGTTGTTCAACAGACGGCGGAATCCACTCAGAGAGCTTAACTACAATTTAATTCCTTACAGAGCCTCTGCTGGCTAGTGCTGTGCAGATTTCTTTCCTTTATTTCCGGATAGGATGTGAAGATTTCTGCCCTCTGATGCCATCTCTGCTCTTAAACCTTCTCCAATTTCCCTTTATCTATCGTCCAAACATTACCTCTTCAGGGCCTTCAAGATTATTTTTTCTTCAGAGATCTTCCAGGATCATTTTTTCTAAAATGTCTCGCTCTCACTTTCCATCCCCTTAATTTTGCTTTATATGTCTTCATTGTGTTGGCCGCTATTTGAAATCACAAATTCGTTTAAATTCCTTTATTGTCTCCTCCAGTTACGGTGTGAGCCCCAAGAAGGAAAAGGCCGACTTATCACATGCTGTATTCCCAAAGCTCAGAGACTAGCACACAAAACAGATTCGACGGACAGTTACCGACTGAAAACATTTAGACACCAAGGAAACCACACTATTCACGTAGGGACTCTTTACCAGGCGGCGGAGGCTTACAACAGAGTGCCTTGTATAACGCATGCGCAAAATATTCGGGAAGTGTTAGAGAAAAGGGGGCGGGACATCGGGAAGAGACTAGGGCACTGGTAGTTGGAGCTTGCATTGTGAGGTGGAGGTAGCTCTCGATGCAAAAAGTGCATGCGTAGTGCCTCTGCCTCTCAGCCAGGCATGTTTCAGGTGTCCAAAGTCAGGTGGGCGCGACTGACTGGAGCTACGCCTGCGCAGTGCAGGCAGCGGAGGGATCTCAGGTTGGCCCCACCCCCTGTTCCCGTCGCGAGCGGAGGCCGCGCGGGTAGGAGAGCGGCGGCCTTGTGCGCGCGCTGGGCGGCTGACTGAGGAAGACCAAAGCGGACGCCGTGGGAGTCTGAGCCGAAGAAGGAGTCCTAGTTGCTGAGGGGCCGCCGCAACTGCCGCGAGCCACAGGACCAACGCCAGGCCGAAGAGGGCGCCGCGCGGCGGGTATGACCGAGTGGCCTTAAGGGGTACAGGGCCGCTACCCACAAACCCCTGCGATGGGCCCCAGTCGACTTCCCCGGGGCCGGGTCCCTTCCCGCGTCTTCGCCTCAGCCACATTTTTGCTCTTCTCACCCAGGGTCTACCGGGCACTCGAGCCGTCTCCCTTCAGCGTTCACTGCCCCCCCCCCCCAATCTGCGGGCCTTTACCCACAGGGCCTTGCGGTGTTGCCTTTTTTTTCTTTCTGTGGCGTCCTAGACCCTTACCCATAATCCCGTTCGCATTTGGGAGCTCAGTCTATTACCCACAAGCCCCTGGCGTTGGGGATTCGCTCGTCCTGATGTCTCCTGCTTGCCTACTACGCGCCCACAGTGCTTTCGCCCTTTGCCTATAATTTGTTCTCTTAGATGAGGGACCCCAGCCGTGTCTGCTCTGGGCTTGTCTCATGGAGCTCATTGAGTCCACCAGGACTTAGGGAGCATTTCAGTCTCACGTATCCTGGCTCTGTACTCAGACTTCGTCACTCAGAAACCTCTTTCAATTCTTTGTTTCCTTTTTTAGCCTTTGTTTTCTGCTTTCCCCGAGAGCTAGCTTTTTCATTATTTCTTGTCCCCTAATGTAGACCGTTACAGAACTTGTTAGTACTGAGACATCTCTCTCTCTCTCTCTTTTTTTTTTTTTTTTCCTTGAGGGTCTAGTAACCGGAAGCTATCCCTACTAGTTCACTCTAGCATAAAGATTTTCCGGCTTCTGCTCATAGATTCGGCAAGATGACACAGTTCCTGCCACCCAACCTTCTAGCTCTCTTTGCACCTCGTGACCCTATCCCATACCTGCCACCCTTGGAGAAACTGCCACATGAGAAGCACCACAATCAACCTTACTGTGGCATTGCGCCCTACATCAGAGAGTTTGAGGTGAGTTCACTGAGTAGACAGGGAGAGGTTTGGTTCTGGAAGCAGGGGACTGTATTGGTCAGTCTCGTCTTCCGGCTATTTCTAGCTTGTGACTTAGGTAGCTTATTTTTTCCAATCCTCAATTTCCTGTCTTCTGTTGAGGCTGAGTCTCCCTATACAGTTCAGGCTGGCCTTGACCTCACTTTGTAGCCCAGGCTGGTCTGGAACTTGCACTGATCCTCCTCCTCAGCCTCTCGAGTGCTGGGATTACTGGCATGTACCACCCCACCTGGTAGTTTCTTTTAAATGGGGTTGATAACATCTCGAGAGTTTTTTGTGAAAATCAGTAAGTAGTCATTCGAGAACTGGGGCTTTGGAGTCAGTCAGGTAATCCTTAGCGCATACCAGTTGGCATCTGTTTGACCTTCAGCAAGTGTTGTGTCCTTTTTTTTTTTTCCTTTGTACTGAGGGTTGAACCCAGAGCCTTCATATACTGAGCTACATTCCCCAGCTCTTTTTGTTTTTAATGTTTATTTTGAGACAGGATCTTGCTAAGTTGCCTAGGCTAGGCTCAAACTTGTGATACTCCTTTCTCAACCTCCCAGGGTGCTGGGACCACAGGTATGTGCCACATATCTGGCTCCATTTTTTAAAATTAATTTTAGTGGTATGTGTTAGATACACATAATGATCACATAAATCATAGGGAATTTGTACCTGTACATAATATACCTTGATTTTTCTTTTTTTCCCTCAAACCCCTGTCCTCTCTTGGCTCAATTTTTATATCAATATGATGATAGTGCTAAAGGTTTTGTATCCTGTACTGGAGTGTTTAAAGCTGTGGGCGTGGAGATTTCAGCTCTACATGCGTGTTACACATGAGTAAACAAGCTAGACTCCCGAATCTCAGTTCTTTCATTCAAAAAATTGCAGTAACCTCCTCTACCATTGGTGAATGCCTAAGATGCTGGCCTGCAGCCAGAGATCAGGAGGAATCATTTAGCATTGGGTAGGAAGGCACCTGGAGGTGGATGCATTGGAGTAGCAGAATGGAATATAGTAATTAACAGCAGGTGGCTCTTTTGTGCCATTTGCCACTCTTGGTGAACCCACACTGGAAAAATGTTATTGGCCACTTAAATGGGTTTAATGGGTATGAGCCACCTCTGATGGTGCAGGTCATGAGACAGTTACTATTTACTGTGTGGTGGGTGGGACCTTTGCTACATGCCCTGCCTGCAGTGTGTCCATCTGTCTGCCTCAGAGCCCTGCTGAGTCAGCTCCTGTCGATTCATGCCTGGGCCCCATGGCACTCACAGGAAAGGGTTCCCATCATACCCTCTGGCAAAGTTCTCTGAACTATTCCTAGGGGTGTGAGAAGTACTGCATTCTCTAAATATGTGAGACAAAGAAATTTGGTACTGTGTCATTAAGTTCTGTCACCTATGCTAGCCGTTTCTCAGATTGTCTGTGGTGAAAGTGAATTTCATTGTAGACAATGGCTACTGTAGAATTAATGTCATTTATGTTTTTTGAGGCAGGGTTTTGTTATGCAGTTCAGGCATAATTCACTGTGTGTTGAACTCACTGTGTAGTCCAGATTGATCTTGAACTCAGTGATCTGCCTCAGCTTCCTGAGTGCTGGGATTATAAGTACGCATCCCCATGGCTGGCTTTTTTGTTTGTTTGTTTAAAGAGCTTCATAATAAGATCAAATTTTTATTGGAGTCAGTGGACATAACATTTTACTCAGTCTAAATGCTGTAGATTTGTGTGTGTGTGTGTGTGTGTGTGTGCGCGCGCGCGTGCGCGCGCGCGCGCTCACATGTGCACATGTACACTTGCCAGGCAGGTGCTTGTGCCGCTAAGCTATATTCCTGGACCCTTGTAGAAATTTTTGATGCTTCTAGCTTCTGTACTTGTCCCAGACCAGCATCTGTTTGTGGGCAACTCTTGTCTATGGGCCATGCTTTAATCTGTGCCACTCCTACTTCCACTGGGGCCTAGACACTGTTGGTGTTTGTATAGATGAGTGTGTGATGGAGAGGTCATTGAGATTCTTATTTCCTTCATGGGTGTCCCCCCAGTCCCTCCCTGTCATTTCTCTTTTTGTTTCCAGGACCCTCGAGATGCCCCTCCTCCAACTCGTGCTGAAACCCGGGAGGAGCGTATGGAGCGGAAGGTATGTTGGACTTGCCTCCTGACCCCATGGCTTTCTAGCCTTGTTCTCCAAATGGTGTCTGCTGTCTACACTCAACTTTCCTATCTCCCTTTTTTGCTGACAGAGGAGAGAAAAGATTGAACGGCGACAGCAGGAAGTGGAAACAGAGCTAAAAATGTGTAAGTCTCCCCTTCCTTCAGGTAGCTCTCTTCTCTCTCAGATTCCTTTATGTTCCTGTTCCTAGGCCACATCCAGGACCCTGCTGTTCCAATCCCTGTGGGGTGGTTCCCCTGTAACACCCACCCCCACTTGGGGTGGTTTTGTTTTTTTGATTCAGGCTCTCACTATGTAGTTTAGGTTGGCTTTGAACTCACTATGGAGCCCAGGCTGCCCTTCAACTTGTGATAGTCCCCCTGCCTCAGCCTCTGTGGTGCTAAGATAACTGTCAGGCTTTTTCCTGCCTACCAACCTTTGGATGTTTCTTCTCATGGCATGTATGTGAGTCATGACTGTGATGTCACCTTGGCCCCAGTTTGTTTGTTGCCGTGCACAGGATAAAACTGAGGGCCTTACATGTGTGAGGCAAGCACTGTATCACTGAATTGCATCCCCAGCTCCACTTTTTATTTTCTTTTGTTTTTTTTCTTTTTTACTGGTGCCGGGGATCGAACTCACTTCCACACACTTGCAAGGCAGGCACTTATGCTGCTGAGCTAAATCCCCAGCCCCTCCAGCTCCACTTTTTTGTGGGGGACAAGAATCAAACTCACGACTTTGCAATTGCCAGGCAGGCACTGTGCTACTGAGCAGTATTCCCTGGCCCACCCAGCTCCACATTAATACTTTCATTTAACTTTTCCCCTGCCTGTCACCATGATGGATCCTGTTATCCTTTAAATGTCACAAAGTTGGCTTTTCTTTCCATGAGTACAAATTTTCCCCATACACATTCCTCAGTCCTCCTCTGGATAACCCACTAATGGTCTACCTAGTTTACCTGTCTGTCCAGCCCAGTTCATTGCTGGGCTTTCTTCATTTGGGGGGCTGGCCTTGAACGCAGGGTGATCTGCCTCAGCCTCGTGACTGGGCTTTTTGAATGAAGTATTGTGTTAATCTCTCTAGTATCTTCCCTTTGCCCTCAGTGTAAAGCCTAGTCCCTTCCCTGCCTATCCATCCATTCAGTGGCACCCTGGCACTTTAAGTTCATGTTACTGACATCTCACAGCTTCCAAGTGCAGTAGGGGATGCGAGTTCCATTTATAAGATTAAAAAAAAAAAAAAAAAATTGGAGATTTGTTTTGTGGTACTGGAGATAGAAGCTGACACATTCTTGTCACTGAGCTACCTCCCCTTTTTCACTTTGAGATGGAGTTTCTAAAGTTGCCCAGGCAAGTCTCAGACATGCTGTCCTCCAGCCTTAGCCTTCTGGATAGCTGGAACTTTTAGACAGGTACCACCATGCCCAGCTCAAGGAAATCTCTTCTTTTGGTCTCTTAGAGACAAGGTTTTATTTATTTTTTTTTAAGTTGTTGTTGTTTTGTACCGGGGGATTGAACTCACAACCTTGAGCTTGCCAGGCAGGCACTTGCAACACTGACCTAAATCCCCAGCCCCTAAAGACAAGTTCTTTTTTTTTTTTTTTTTTTGGTCTTTTTCCTTTTTACCGGTACCGGGGATCGAACTCACGACTGCCTGCTTGTAAGGTAGGCGCTTATGCCGCTGAGCTAAATCCCCAGCCCCTAAAGACAAGTTCTTAATATATAGTTAAGGCTGGCCTTAAATTATTTAGCCCAGGCTGGATCAAACTGAAGGCAGTCCTGCTTCAGCCTACTTCCAGCTTCCAGAGAGTTGTGGGGGTTTTTGGTGGGTACTAGGAATTGAACTCAGGACCCCATGCTGGACAGGTAGGCACTGTGCTGCTGAGCTATATCCCCGATATCCCCGACCATCCTGGGTTGCTGTTAAGGGTAGCATTGCTACTCTTGTGGGGCACAGCTGCATGCACAGAGCACACTGACCAGCAGACCCCTGAGGGTTTTTGCCACCCTCCGTAAGGGAATGTGTTCCTTCAGATAATTGGGTCCTGTTGACTTGGTGGCACCTTTACTCACACTCTTGGGTAAGTGAGAGTGACAGAGACCTGATGTAGCATACTTAGAGTGTTGTCCCTTTGTCAGCTGGGCACATTGCAGTGGTGCTTGAGCAAGCTAAGGTGTCTCTTGGCCTCATTTCCCCGCTCCCACCCCAGCAATTGCTGAGTAGTGACAGCACTATGTGTGGCACTGTGAGAGTGTGTTGGTGATTGCTGCTGAGTCACCTCCATGTCTTCAGATGTATGTGACCAGCTCTGTGCGGTCTTGCCTGGGTTTTTCCATATAGAGTTTGCTGTGTCCCCTTCTCTGAGCTCATCTGATGTGATTTATGGTTTCTTCATTTACCTTGTTTAATTCCTGCATTAGCCTATAAACTAACTCCCTAGGGTAGAGATGTTTTTATTTACTGTCAAATCTCCACCACCTGCAGCAGTGTCAGGTACACAGTGAATGCTTAATAATAAATACTTCTTGAATGAAAAAGAGTGAGCCAGTTCAATTTGAGAGAGTTGGGCACAGAACAGTGCAACACAGAAGAATGTGTTGTGGCAGGGAAATTGAGGCTGTAGGGGAACACTGCATACTGGGATAGAGTTGTCTTTTCGAGTTTCTGTCAGTTTTCACATAGTCATTCCTTTAAGCTTGTCTTCAGACTGGTAGTTTTTAAAGAAATCCCTTGAAAGTCTCCTGCCTGCGTGTCTGTCTTTCTCTTTTCTTCTCCCCCTGGCACTGAGGATTGAACCTGGCTGGCTCTTTGCATTGAGTATATTCCTGGCCCTTTTTTTAATACTTATTTTAAGTCAGGGTCTCAATTTTCCTAGTCTGGACTTGAACTTGGTGATCTTCTTGCTGGCCCAGCCTCCCAGAATATTCCACCATGACCAGTTAGGAATTTTCTTTCTTGGTGGTTCTGGAGATTGAAGTCTGTGTCTCACACATGCTGAGCTACCCATTCAAGTCTAAAATGAATTTGCTGGGAACTCTGTAAATGTAATGCCAACACTCTGGCATTGCTAGGTCTCAGGATCCCCTGGGCTGTAGTTGCAGTCTATGCCCATTGGGTGGCAGTGCGGCCCTGTTTCAGGGATGGGGAAGGCTAGCTCAGCTGTCCACAGGAGGCTGCCTTCCAGGGAGGCCCTGTTGCGCTTGCTTGCCTATTGCTCAGATCACCTTATACTCAGGAGGGGATCCTCGATCCCTGGTACCGATAAAAATGAAAAAGACAAAAAAAAAAAAGGAAGGGATCCATAGGGTGCATAGGACTGAATAGACATCCAGGGTGCCATCCAGGCCTGCCACGTCCTTTTAGCTTGAAGTCAGCCTCATTCTGTCAGCCTAAGCATCATTCCAGTAAAGGTGTTGATTCAGGGAAGCCAGGAGGATATGCCCAGAGTGGCCAGGTCAACTCTATCTTTGTCTCCAGGACCTTGCCCATCTGTCTGTACCTGTCTAAATACCTCTGGCTACAGGAATCTTACAGAGTATCTTCTTCCTGCACAGGGGACCCACACAATGATCCCAATGCTCAGGGTGATGCCTTCAAGACTCTGTTCGTGGCCAGAGTGGTAAGTCCACAGCTCCCAGCTCCAGAACCCCCACTGGCCCACTTGCTGAGTGCCTGGGTCTTACAGGACAGTCCCTTGTCTGGGACTACACAGAGGCTTCAGGACAGTTTTCTTCTCTCTAATTTTGAGACTTTCCTTCTAGAACTATGACACAACAGAATCCAAGCTTCGGAGAGAGTTTGAAGTGTACGGACCCATCAAAAGAGTAAGTGGGTCAAAATAGGGGTATTAGAACTGGGAATTGGGGGGAGGGCAGTCCCCTAGGAGGGAGAGAATGCTGAGCTCCTAGCCCTGAGGTTGGCACCTCCCTCACAGTGTTTATTTGTTTGGTTTTGGTCTTTTTGAGGCAGGGTTTCACTGTATGGTTCAGGCTGGCCTTGAACTTACTTTTAACCCCAGCTGCCCTCAAACTCAAGGTGATCCTCCTGACTCAGCCTCCCAAATGCTGGGCTTATAGGCGTGTGCCACTGCACTCAGCTTTTTTTTTTTTTTTTTTTTTTTTTTTCCTCTTTTTTTGAAATGGGGTCTCACTATGCGCAGTTCAGGCTGGCCTTGAGCTCACTTTGTAGCCCAGGCTGGTCTCGAACTCACAACAATCCTCCCACCTCAGCCTACCAAGTGCTGGGATTTACAGGCATGAATCCCACTATGCCTGTTTTTTTTTTTTTTTTTTTTAAATAGTAAAATTTATAAAAGTTAAGATTTTTATCGGTGTATTTTTTTGTTTTGTTTGTGAGACTGGGTCTCACTGGCCAGTAGTTCAAACTGGCCTTGAACTTGTGGCAATCCTCGTGATTCAGCCTCCCAAGTGCTGGGATTATAGGTGTGCACTACCATGGTTGGCTATCAAAGGGTTTATGCCCTTTGACGCAGCCTAAGTAGCAGAAGGAAAATAAGTAGTAGTGACTGACTCTTAGTTGACAGAGGGCAGATATCGGGAAACTACACACTTAGCTCTTTTTTTTTTTGTACCAGGGATTGAACTCACAACTGTGCACTTGCAAGGCAGACACTTATGTCGTTGAGCTAAATCTCCGGCACACTTAGCCCTTGTAAATGTGCTTTTGTTGATACACAGGCTAGTGCATTAGTTTCCATGTTACCTGGCTGCTATTGCTAGAAGGCAGAGTTGAGTTATGACAGACTGTGGTTCTCAGAGCTAGGAATGCCTGCTTGCTGACTCTTTACTAAAAGTTGTTACTGGTTCTTGTTTTATTTTTATTTTTTTATTTATTGTGTTTTTTTGAGACAGAGTCTTGCTGTGTAGTATAGGTTGGCTTCAAACTCACTATGTAGTCCTGGCTGGGCTGGAACTCAGTGATCCTCCTGCCTCAGTCTCTGATGCTGGGATTTTAGGTGTGTGCCACCTTGCTGGGTCTGCTGCTTCTGTTTTACAGCACAGCTTTGTATATCTGACATTTGTTCCTTAAGTTGAAGTCAACTTTGAGCCTTCTTCCCTTCCCTGGGAAGGTGGATGGCCCCCCCGCCCCCCATGGGCTGTGTGAGCTGCTGAGCCTGGTGCTGGATGTGAGTGGGCTCTGCTGTTACCTTCCTGGCTCTGGCTCTGGCCCTGGCTCTGGCTCTCAGGGCTGGGTTGTTTGATGTTTTGGGCCTCTGGCCTGTTTCCTCTGATACCTCTTCTGCTCACTTTGGAATCTGAGTTGAGTTTGCGAGGCTGCAGGGTTGTAACCATCATTCTAGCACAGGGTGAGCTCAGGGCAGCTGACTGGTAGTGAAGTGAGTGGACAAGTATGCATCCTTGGCCAACTTGAATTTTGTTGTTTGCCACTGTTTTTCTGGTTCATCCTCACCCTCTATCCCCAGAATTTGCTCCTCACCGTTGTTCTTCATATAGTCCATCTTCCATATGGTCCCAGAGGGGGTGACACCCAGAGAGGACCCATCACCTTTGCTCATGGTCTTCCATGGCTCCCTAGCACATAGGGACAGAGGTCTAGATTCTTCATCTGGGCCCTCAGGTGCTTTGCCTGGTGGCCTTGCACTGTTGAGTGGCTTGTGTGCCACCATCTGATGCACCGTGCTGGCGTCCCTGTAGTGAGAATCCTCTTGTGGAGCCCCGAGCTTCCCAGCTTTCTGCTTCATGTGTGTGGGTGCGTCTGCAGTGCCCTTTCTTTTGCTCTGGAACGCCCTACCCAGTGCATTTGGAGCTCCTCCATTTTAACCCCAACTCCAAGTGGCTTCTCCACTTGGCCTCCTTTTTACTCAGCATCGTTTTCAGTTCCTCAGAGTCCATGTTCAGCCTTTCACTGGGGATCCTTGGTGGTCCTGGTGTCTACTTAACTTTGCAGCCTCAAGCCAAAAGCCTCACCATCAGAATACATTCCGTCCTCCAGTGCTTAAGGAAAAATACTTGTGGAAAAGTTCGGTTTCTACTATGTTCGCCGTATTAAGTGAGGTTGGACATGTTAATTTTGACTTGGTGCACAGCACATTCAGTGTTGGTTATCACTTAGTATAGACATGGAGAACAAACCTGAAACCTTACAACATAGAGCAGATGTTCACCTCCTGCTTTGTAGTAGTACCCTGGTGTCATGTTCCATGAATGTGATCAGGAAGAGTTTTTGTTGGGCTTTGCTTTTTTTTTTGGTCTCTTGGTGGGGGTGGGCCAGAGCCATGGAAAGAAAAATGTGATGTGTGTGTCCATTATGTACTGTATTGCATTGTTTTGCAAGAAGAATTGACCTGTTTTTGATTACAAGAATAAATGGTGTAAAATGCTTAACAAAAATACATTCCAGGGACTGGGGATTTACTTCAGTGACTCAAGTGCTTGCCTGGTAAGCGTAAGATCAGTTGGTTCGATCCCTGGTATTAAAAAAAAGAAAATTGGGCAAAAATCCCACTCTCACAGAAGTGCCTCCTCCCGTGGCCCACTCTTTGGAGTGACTGCTGCTGCACATGGGAAGCTAATGCTTCAGTCTCCCCCGTTAGTGTTTAGTGCTTAGCCTGTGTTCTCTCCAAGGTGTCTCCCCGTGCCTCTCTAGTTCTGTGTCCTCTGCTTTCATCATTAAAGCTAAAGGGGGACCCTGAGAGCGCTTGAGGACTAGGTCTGAAGGCCCATGCTCACCTGGCCTCTTTCTGCAGATACACATGGTGTACAGCAAGCGCTCGGGAAAGCCCCGCGGCTATGCCTTCATCGAGTACGAGCACGAGCGGGACATGCACTGTGAGTACCTCTGGCCTCTGCCCTCCCACTGCCCTCTCACTTCTCTGCTGCCCCGCCCTTCCCTGTTGTCTGTCCCCCTCCCCGACACACCTGACATTAGCAATGTCTCTTCTCCTCTTCCCTCTGTTTCTGATATATCTTTTTTTTTTTATATATGTATATATTTATATATATATATATACGTGTTTTTTAAAAAACAAAAACCAAATCCCCTACAACGTGTGTGTGTGTGTGTGAGCCCAGGGAGGTAAGTGCCACACGTTGAACCTCAGGGGCCAGGAGGGAACTGGGTGGGGGCTGGGGCCAGCTGGAGGTGGGGGGAGGGGTTGGATTTTCCGGGAGTCTCTCCCCATTAATTCCCCCACCTGGGGTTGGGGGTGGCCAGGCCACATGAGGACTGGCCTTTGAACGTGCCCTTGCTTCCCCCCCAGTAGAGCTGGGGCTGGGCCATCCCGACCCTCCGCCTCCCCACTCTGGCCCCTACCCTGTTCTCCAGGCTGTGGGGCAGCGGGCCCAGTGGGCGTGTTCAGTGCCCACTCCACGGCTCCAGAGCCCCCTTGAGGCTACGCGGTGCCCACAGGGGCAGGGATGGGTGGGTGGGGGTGGGCAGGGCTGCGGCGTGTCCAGGGGCCGCCGTATTAATTGACTGTTCTTATTGTCACTGCAGCCACCACGCAGCTGGCTTGCAGCTGATGCTTACGCTCCCCTTACAACACCTCAGTGTATGGTTGGTATAAGGGTTTGTATCATGGGTAAGATCACTCAGCACTGCACACCAGCCCAGCTTAGCCAGGCAGCACAGGAGCAGTGAGACGTCCCTCTTCCCACCCTGGTCGCCCCTCAGCCTTCCCGCACCCACAGCCCTTTCCTTAGCTGGGTGCCCATTGCCCCTCCTACCCGATCCATACACTCCGATTGTCTGGCCAATCCCATGAGGGGCAGGGTGGACCTCGCTGGGAAAGGCATCGCCTCTCCAGATGAACTCCACCCAGCCTCACTTCCCTGGCTTCCTGACATGAAGGGCGAGGTGCAGGAGTATGGAAGGTGGGGCACGGGGCCAGGGTTCCATGCGGAACCCTTCTGCCCTCAGTGCCTGTCCCCCATCCCTGCCATGGGTCTGTTACTATGGTGGTCCTGGAGAATCTTTGGCTAGTTTCAAGGTGCTGCACCCTCATCTGTCTTCCTATGTTCGAGGGGTCTGGCTACTGTGCCCAGCCGACTCCAGGAGCTCCCCAGAGTGCATGGAACCCAGGTCTGGACCATGGGGGGAAAGAAGCAGGCTACCAATGATGAAGGTGTAGTAGGCTCTTATTAAGAATCTGCCACTGTCTGGAGATGAAAGAGAGGGAAAGAGAGAGAGAGAGAGGCCTAGATGGACACATTGACACATTTTCTTTGCTGTTCTTTGCGGGTTGGGTCTTTCCTGGGTTTGGGATGCTGACCCCGAGCAGAGTTCTTTGCTCGGCTGCACCCTGGTCCTCACATTCCTTCCCCACTACCCTTCTCTGGGTTCAGGGGCCAAGCGGCCCCTTCTCAGCATGGACAGCACTGCACCTCCAGACCTTGGAGTATGTTCCCTGTGTGCCAGCCTTGGGCTGCAGTTTGGTGGTTGGGCTGTGGAGTTGGAGGTGGGAAAGCCATTCCCAAATTGAGTGGGGTGGGCCTGTGCCTAGTGAGTGTGAGTGTATCAGGAACTGGTAAGGGCGACAGGTGTTCCGAGGCCTCCTAGCCACCTTTGCAAATCCCACCAAGATAGGCCCCCGGCTTTCCAGACCCAGATTCGATGTTACTCTCACCCGAAAGTTTCTCTGGGGTCCATTATTTCTTTCCTCAGCCTGTCTCCAGGTGGCGCAGGAGATTTGGCTCTTCCCTTTTGGGGTGCCCAGGACCCCCAAGTTCCCCTCCCTGTAGCTTTAGCTGACCCCATGGTTTTTTGGGGAGGGTCTGTGCGCCTACTCAGGTAAGCTTGGGGGCTCCAGGTAAGCGTCCCGTGTGTCCCACCCCCCCGGGAAGCCCGCCTCCTCGCCAGGCCCCCAGGAGTTGCCGAGCCCCCCCCATCCCGCTCGGTTTGGACACCCGCAAGGCTGGCATCGGTAAATGGCACCTTTTTCTCTTCCTCTGGTTGTATTTGGGGGGGAGCGGGCTGGGGGGGCAGGGTATTGTGGTTGGTTGAGGAAAGTCCCTAGACCAGGGCTGGGGAGGGGGTCAGGACATTTTGGCCTTCCCAACTGCCCCCCAAGATTATAGGCTGGCCATTGGGCCTACCGTGTGCTTGTCCTGCACGAGAGCAGTCTTGGGCCTCTCCCCGGCCCCTCCTCTGCTTCTCCTCTTCCCTGATGGGGTCAGGCCAGGGCTGTGTCTGGCACATTTTGAGCTGGGGCATCGAGGGGAGAGATGTGCAGGTTGAGTGGTGACAGGGTCAGTGGTCTCAGGTAAGGCAGGGATTTTTCAGTAGCACCGCACGTCCCCCCAGCCTCCCTTCATGTTTCCTGCTGGGGGGTCCCTGTAGGCCCCCTGGGAGCACATAACCCGCCTCTCTGCTCCCTGCCATTTCCTGAAGATTTCTCCCACTTCCTCTGATTTATTTTCTGTTCTGATGTCTGTTTACCCACTCAGCCTCCTCCCCCTAAAACCATACAAGAAGAAAAAACTGGTGTTAACTGGGGTGTGGAGTGGCCCAGTCAGGCCTCCTGCCCCAGCATGATGTTTTAGGGTGCATGCTTGGGGTTGTGGGGGAGCCCCCTCCCCCACAGCAGAGTCCAGTGTTAACTTCCAGTTTCTTTGCAGCAACTTTGGCCATCCAGCAGGAGAGGGCTGCTCCATCTGGTGGGAGCAGGGGAACCTCTAGGGGGTACAGTGGTCCTTGGTAGCCGTCACCTTCAGTCGTGATGGGGGTGCTGAGAAAGGAGCAGGCACTGAGATGGAGCAGGCCCCTCCCTGGGTTGGGAGAGGGTCGGTCTGGCTGGCAGGTGCCTGGCTGGTGGTGTGGGCGTGCGTGTGCGAGTGCTCGTGCCATGATAGTCTGGGGAATGGGGATGCTGCAGTGTGGGGTTCTATCTTGACTAGAGGACCCTGTGGGGACTCCTTCCCCTTCCCCCTCCCCACATCTGTTGCAGCCGCTTACAAACACGCAGATGGCAAGAAGATTGATGGCAGAAGAGTCCTCGTGGATGTGGAAAGGGGCCGGACCGTGAAGGGCTGGAGGCCTCGGCGGCTGGGTGAGCGATCATGTGTGCTGAGTGCCTGGGTGCTGTGCCCTGTGGCCTCAATGTCCCTCTCTTCCACAACCTTGCTGCCTTCTGTCTGCCCTTCACGCCTCCCTCTGTTTCTAACTCATCTTCTTACATCTCTTGGCTTTTCTGGGTGACTGGCCTGGGGTAAACACCAGCCTGGCTCATTTGCTTGTTTGCTAGCTGTCAGATGCCGCTGTTCTGCCCTCTTTCCTGGCCTCACGCAGTGGGAGTCATGCATTTGATGCATCTGGTGCCCATCGGCTAGTGGATCTGGTGGGGCTCGTAGGTGGCACTTGCTTGTCTGCTTATCCTTTGCACTTGCTGTCTCTTTGTTCATTCATTGGGCTCAGCAAGTACCCACTGAGTCACCAGCTGTGTACCAGGCTTGTAGTCTAGAACAAGACAAAGGCAACCTCTGCCATTTGCTGTCTCAGTCAAGGTCAGTTTGGTAGCAAGTCTCAGAAACACATTTGAGCTGAGTGTGGTGTTGAAGCCAGGAGTGTTGGTGCAGATGTGCAATCCTAGCACTTAGGAGGCCAGGGCAGGGGGATCTTAAGTTCAGGGCCAGCCTAGACTACATGGTGAGACCTTGTATCAAAAGATAAGAAAAAAGAACTGGATCTGCTGTTTCATGGCTGTCCCAGCACCATGGGAGGCTGAGGCAGGAGGATCCAAAGATCAAGTCCAGCCCAGGCAATTTAGTGACTAAGTAAGTAAGAAACCCTGCCGCAAAAGCAAATAAAAGGGCTGCAGGTAGTGTGAAGGCCCTGGGTTTGGTCTCAATGCTGGGTTATATCTGCCTGGGTTACTGCTTGTGTGGAACATGACAGAAGAGTGCTAGCCCGGGGTCTCCTGAGGGCAGACAGGAGTGGCTCCCGGCCCCACCCCCTGCTTTCCAGGGTGCCAGGGGCAAATGACAGAATGCTTTCCCATCTGAAAGAAGGTCACCTCTGGCAGATCGGCTTCTCTGGCCAGGTTCATCACCTGTGCTGGAGCAGGGAGAGCGCCAGGCACTGGCTGTACAGCCTGGTAACATGCAATTGGTCAACACCTCACATGGCAGTTTTGCAAAAGCCTCAGAGGAGATGCTGGGAACTCTGAGGAGTGAGGGGCTGCCAGTTGGCCCTGAAGGGTTTGCCGAGGAAGTAGCGTCTGGGCAGATGGCTGACTCCAAGGTCCGTTGGAGTCTAGGAGCCAGGGCCATTGGAATCTGGGAGCCAGGCAGGAAGCTGGGCATGGTGGCTCTTTAGGCTCTTCTCTACCCTTTTGGGGAGGAGTTTGGATTTGAGGCAGGAAAGTGTAAATCGGACCTGTTTTCACTTGGAGCCCCGGTATCAGGGGGAGGGGATCTAAGAGGCTCAGTTCCCAGTAGGTGGGGCACCATGCTGAGCTAGATAGGTTCCTACTCAGAACCTTCCTAGGCAGCACCTGGTGAAGGCTGTCCTGAAACAAGAGCGCAGAGGTGGTGGATACTTGGAGTTGGCCCCTGGCCACCAGCCGAGGTGGTAGTTTTCTTGCCCTCTGTTCTTTGAGGCCCCTCCTTTTCCTAGTCCTCTGTGTTTTACCCTGGCCACACTGACCCGTGTCTACTTGCCCTGCCTGTAGGAGGTGGCCTTGGTGGTACCAGAAGAGGTGGGGCTGATGTGAACATCCGGCATTCAGGCCGTGATGATACATCCCGCTATGATGAGAGGTAAGATTGGGCGACTAGTTTCTTGGGACTGGGCTGGTGACATGGGGGTCCCTGCTGCACACCACTGCCTACCTCATCCAGGCCTGGCCCCTCCCCGCTTCCGCACAGGGACCGGGACCGGGACCGAGAGCGGGAGCGTAGAGAGCGGAGTCGGGAGAGAGACAAGGAGCGGGAACGGCGACGCTCCCGCTCTCGGGACCGGCGGAGGCGCTCACGGAGTCGTGACAAGGATGAGCGGCGTCGGTCCAGGGAGCGGAGCAAGGACAAGGACCGAGACCGGAAGCGTCGAAGCAGTCGAAGCCGGGAACGGGCACGACGGGAGCGGGAACGCAAGGAGGAGCTTCGTGGTAGTGGAGGTGGTGGTAGTGGTGACATGGCCGAGCCCTCTGAGCCTGGTGATGCACCTCCTGATGATGGGCCTCCTGGGGAGCTTGGTCCTGATGGCCCTGATGGCCCGGAGGAGAAGGGCCGGGATCGTGACCGGGAACGACGTCGGAGTCACAGGAGCGAGCGCGAGCGACGCCGGGACCGGGACCGGGACCGTGATCGAGAGCACAAGCGGGGGGAACGGGGTGGTGAGCGAGGCAGGGATGAGGCCCGCGGCGGGGGCGGGGGTGGCCAGGACAACGGGCTGGAAGGTCTGGGCAATGACAGCCGAGACATGTACATAGAGTCTGAGGGCGGCGACGGATACATGGCTCCGGAGAACGGGTATCTCATGGAGGCAGCACCTGAGTGAGGAGGTCTTCCTAGCTGCTCTATTCGGACGAGATCCCAGCCAGCCCTCACTGTCGTCCTCTCCCTAACCTTCCTGGCCACCTCAGTTTGCCCTCTGAGGGTAGGAGTTCCTTTGTTCGGGCCCTTGGATTTAAGAATAAAATTAATTTCCTGTTGATGGTGGGCATCTTTTGTTCCTCACTGCTTTTAACATTTCAGGCTGTCAGTTGACTATTGTCCCACATTGGTGTACGGTTTCCAGGCTTGACCTTCATGGGCTGAAGCGTGCAGCCATGCCCCGGTCCTGCATCCCCTTCCTTGGGGCTTTTTTTGTCCAGTGTTGGGAGTGGGAGGAAGACACTGGATTACCCAGCAGAAACAAAATGCTTGCTTGAGAGCGAAACTTGTCTCTGAAGCAGGAAACAAAAGAAATGTGGCTCGGAAGAAAGTGGGAAGCTTGAGGGCCTTCAGCTCTGGCCGAGTTCTCCTTTGTACTACCTGACAGTGCTGTACAGGAGCGGAAGAGGAGCCCTTGGCAACTGAGATTCCAGTAGGTCTCCAAGCAGACTGAGGCCAAGGGAACCTTTGAATGAGGTTGCAGTGAGAAGGAAGCCCGGGCCTGGAGAGTAGGTCAGGGCTGCTACTCCAAGCAACAGGGAGAGGAGCTGGCCAGGAAGGCCGCCTCTGGAAGTCTCAGCCTGCAGGATGAGTTGCCTGATGACCACAGCCAGCCTAGTGGTTGAATCTGACTGCCATGTGGAGTCTAGTCTGCTTTTCAAGGGCTTCAGTCTTTAATCACATCAAGAATACTCAGGCATTTGAGGAAAAAAACTGCAACAAGAGACCCCAAAACTTAAAAAAAAAAAATTATAGAAGAAATTAGAAAAAAATACTTATCGGTACATTCAAGGAGACTGACCAAAAAATATAGGACTTCTAAAAAAAAAAGTGCAACTGCCGTAAGAGCCCATATTGGACTAATCTGGCACAGATGAGTCATACAAAGCCCAAACAAATCAAAACTTGTGGAACAGCCATGGAGGCCAGACCTGAGGGAGGAGCCTGCACTGACATGAGAGCTGCTGCTTAGCTGCTTGCATTTGGTCAGGATTGGTGCAGCAGTTCAGCACTGGAAGTGTAACTAGGCCAGGAGGAGGGCACTTGTCCTATGCTTCCAAGAGTTACTTCAAGGCATTACCACACCCTTACGGCAGGATGCAGTTTCACTTGGAGGTGACAGCTGTACAGATTGCAATCCCTATGGAACCTGCTGGGAGGTCATCTCCATGGCATGGCAGTGTTAATCAGAATGTACAGGTTGCATATCAGAATCAAACCACAGCTGGAATCTACCAGCTTTGAGCCCAAAGCAGGACCTCATCAGGGTTCTGGTGTCAAGCTACCAAGAGGGCCCTCTGCTTCCCTCATTGAAGGAAGACATCCAGATTCTATGGCTTTTGGTTTGCAGTGCTCACCAGTCATGCTAGAAACAGCTCTGAAATTGCAGGAATTCAAGAAGTTAAAAAGCCAGAACCAGGCTAATGCAGATTTTGGAGTTCAGAATGAAATAACTGGTATTTTCACAAAATAAGGAAAAATGGAGAATATTTAACATCTGGATTCTCAAAGTCAACTGGAAGTTCTAGAACTGAGAAACAGTTATTTGAGGATTTGTAAGTGAATTTGATAACTGAATAGGCTCAAGACAATCTGAAATCTTCCCCTTACGAAAACTGAAGAGCTAAGAGTAGGCACATTTTTTTGAAAATAAGACATGTACACATGCATGTGCACACACAAAGGAAAAGACAATCATTTTAGGAATTCACATCAGCTCACCAAAGTGAATTTTAAAAAGATGCAATCCAGGAGCCATGTGGAGTGAAGTCTCAGAATGGCAGTTTCTGCAAAGCAAGTGGCCTGGATGGAGGCAAGAGGACTGCAGTTTGTAGAAGTTTCTGGATAAAAAGATTCAGTAAGATCAGTGTCATGCTGGAGACTTGGAAATTGTGGGAAAAAAGAAAATGCTGCTGCCAGGGGACTCTGCTGACTCCCGTGGGAAAAGCTGCACAAAGACCTGAGCACCTGGAGGTGGAGGATGCAACCCTCAAGTGATGAGCTTTGTATCCTGGTGGTGGTGACTGAACTCAGTGGGAATCCACAGCTTCAGAGCCACTGGCTGGGAACATGCGCCTGGCAGAAGAGCACTGCAGGTCCCTGGCCCAGCGCAGTGCCTGTGATCGGTATAAACAAGGGACAGTGGCCTGTATGGCCAATCAGTTATGAACTGGGGCCAAAATAAGAGACAAAGCAGGGAGCTGTTGAAATGCAGTGTAATCTTAGAATATGAGGACAGTAGAGTGATGGTATTGTAGGCTGACACCCTGTAAGCACTGAACTGGAAAACCAAAAGCTCCTAGCTTTGAATTCTCAGGGATGGTAGAAGAAAGGTGGTGAGAACAGAAACCAGTATGCAGTATGTTACCAACACATAAATCAGGAAATACCATGTTATTACAGAAGCAACAGACATCTGTAAATTACTTTTTTTAAAAAAAATTCTTTTTGAGACAGCGTCTTGCTTGTAATCCAGACTGACTGAATTTGCAGTCTTCCTGCCTCAGTCTCCCAAGTGCTGGAATGATAGATGTGTGCCATCACGTCCACCTCTTGAAGGAGGCAGATTTAGGAGAGGTATAGGAACTAGTGGGGTTTTTGTTATTAGCCCTTAGCTGTTTTTTTGTTTTGTTTTGTTTTGGTTTTTTTTTTTTTTTTTTTTGTCTTTTTCGTTTTTATCGGTACCTGGGATCGAACTCACGACTGCCTGTTTGCAAGGCAGGCGCTTATGCCGCTGAGCTAAATCCCTAGCCCCAGCCCTTAGCTGTTTTTAACTATAAATATGTGACTTTGCGTGGTCTAGCTACTTTTTTTGTAGTGGGAATCAAACTCTGGACCTTGTACTTGCCAGGTAGATGTTTGTGCTGCTAGGCTGTACTCTTGGCCCAAACCCAGTTACTGGTGAGGCTGAGGCAACATTGCACCTGAAGGCCAGCCTGAGAAACTGAGTTTCAATTCCAAGTACTGTACCATATACACCGTAAAAAGTAAATACCTGAGTTGACCAGGAAGCCAGCCTGCTGCAGGCAGTCTGAGCAAATCCTTTTCTGGAAGCCACAGAGCCATCCCCCTGCCTGAAAGCCCTTGCATAGCAGGCCAATTTTCACATTTCCTGTGCTGCTTCAGCCTCCCCACAGCCTTTCTCTTTCTAAAACCCCTCTCCTGGCTTTTTTCCTCCAGGGCCTGTTCTCAGCACACACTGCTATTTCCCGACTAAGCATTGGGAGCCGTTGGACTCCCCTGCTGCTCCCCACCCCCTCCACTCTGACCACTGGTTTTAGTTCCCACCTGTTGTCCCAGCTTCCAAAACTGCCTGCAGCCCACAGGCTCCTCAAATTTAGAATGTCTTCTATTATCCTCTGGCAAGGCCACCCTGGCAAAGGGCACCAAAGCACCCCAATACTGCATTCACTGGGCTGTCTGGCCAAGGCCTGTCACTTGCCCCATTTGCCCACAAGCACAGGGAGCTTTTGGAGAACATTTATACCTGCTTCCCCTAAGCTAGTCTTCACGGTGGCCACAGTGATCCTAAACTGCAGACATGGTCACCGGTATTCTCCCAGGAGTGCTCATGAGTCCCAGATCCTCATCGTGCAGATGCCTATGTACAAGGCCACACAGCTCCTGCATCTCCAACTTCCCCACTCCGCTTTCTGCAGTTTCCATCCTTGCGTACTGGTATTTGAGGCCAGGACCACATGCATGCTTGGCAAAGGCTTTATAGTGCTGAGAGATGCCTTCAGCCCTTTTTATTTTTTAAATTCCCCAGGCTGCCCTTGAATTGGCAATCTTTGTGCCTCAGTCTCCCAAGTAGCTGGAATTATAGGCAAGTGCCACCTTGCCCTAGATCTCACTTGTGGGTTTTACCTGTCAGGATTTTGTCAGCGCCCTTCCTACTGTCTGCTCCCACTCTTGGTGTTTTTGTTTTTTTGTTTTTGAGATAGTCTCACTGAGTAGTTCAGGCTGGCCCTGCGAACTCACTATGTAGCCAGGCTGGCTTTGCACTCACGGCGATCCTTGTCCCTCTGCCTTCCAGTGCTGGGATTACAGGCATGGGCCACCACGCCTGGCTCCACTCTTTAAGCACAGCGTTGCTGGTCATCTGTCATCCTAGATCGAACCCCTCAGGCAGCGGGCTTATTTCCCTTGCTCACCTGCGTTACCTCGCTGCTCAGGATCTGTTAAGTGTGGAAACCTGGGGAAAGGACAGGGAAGGGGTGGGCAAGATAGATTGGGAGGAAGGAGACGCCGACAGGCGGTTCCAGACTCGTAGCTGCGCCAGGCGCGGTCACACACGGTGGACCTTGGAAAGAGACTGTTGACGAGCCGGGGGCGTGGGGCGGGGCCTCGGGCAGCACCGCCCCCTCGCCGGCGCCAGGGCAGGCGGGCGACTGGCGGCTGGCAGTGGCGCCGACATGGCTGCGCTGGTCGAGCCGCTGGGGCTGGAGCGGGGTAAGCGCCCCAGGGCCCCGCGCAACCAGCTGCCTCCTGTGCCCCACACGGCCCCGCCCACCCGGCCAGGCCGACACAGTGGGCGGACAGGGTGCGCGGGGCGGGTCCACTGCGTGGGGCCCCAGGCCCAGGCCAGGTGTGCGCTGGCGCAGACCTCAGGGCCACTTGGACGCAGCGGGACTGGCGGCTTGGCTTATGCTGTCCTTCCCAGCTCCGTTGCCTCCGCCCTGACTCCATCTCTCGTTGCCTCTCTCCGTGGCCTCCGTGCTGTGATGTTGTCTTCGCTCTCGCCACCCAGACGTGTCCCGTGCCGTGGAGCTCCTCGAGCGGCTCCAGCGCAGCGGGGAGCTGCCGCCGCAGAAGCTGCAAGCTCTTCAGCGGGTTCTGCAGAGCCGCTTCTGCTCCGCCATCCGCGAGGTGAGCCTGGACTACGCCTCCCAGCAGCGCCTGAGCCACCTACGCCAGGGCCGCGCTACAGCCCAGCCCGGGGTTCTTGTGGGAGTTGTAGTTCGCGGGGGCGAGGCGGACCCCTGGTTGAGAAGGGAGAGGTGGTGCGGAGACCACAGGGGCTACTGTGTCTAAGAGAGGAGGGAAGCGGAGGCTCCCGGA